GTGTGTGTGTGTGTGTGTGTGTGTGTGTGTGTGTGTGTGTGTGTGAGAATATTAATAAAAAACGATCTTTGAAATGCTGAAATCTTTGTTTTAGCCATACCTTTAACTCTGGTGCTGACCTGTTCTACACTTTGCAGTCCTGGTATGAAGTTTGATTAACAGCTAAATCAATAGATTAAACATTTAGTTACTAAGAAAAAAGTTTGGTTGCTTAAATGTAATGTGTTATTACATAAAGTAAAAACTAAAGGATAGTGTGCCATAACTAAATAACCATAATAAAATGTTTAATTATTAGTTTAATTTGTTGTCATGCCTGAATTTTAGAAACTGTCATCTTATTGGTATTTTCAACAGTTTAGKTGGAGTTTTGATTTCATTTTTGCTTACAAACACATTTTAGTTCATACAGAATGTACACTGTACTGTCTGTGAACCCTGTCGGAAACCAAACTAAATGTTTATCATAAAGACAAACACTTTCGTGTTCCTTAACTTATTGCTTGGATAGCTGTGGTTTTTGATATTCTTAGTTCTTATGGGTCTAAGTGGCACAAACAAAACCAGTTAATTATTCTTGCAGGTGTTTTGCTGCTGTTACTTACATCGTCTCTCTTTACGTAATTCTTTTCTGTTCCACGGTAGGACACCACATGGATCAGGGTGTAGACTCTGCAAACAGACAGGCACAAAGTGTAAAAAGACAGGAATATTTGGAAATGATAGCAAAGAATAAAATCAGCCGGTGTTTAAATTAAATAAAAATATAACTCTCTGTGAAGATGGTACGTTTATTAACTCCGTGCTCTTTGTGGGGTAAAGCATTTAATCTCACGTAACCAGTAGAATTTTTGCATCTAAAATAAATCTGCACTAAGAAAGGTTTTTAAGAGCAGTGAGTTGGTCATAGTTTAGACAGTGACTGATAGATTTGTTTGTGTACCTGTGATACAACATGGCCAGAAACTGGACAAGGAGAAGAACAGCAAAGGACAACAGGAACATCAAACTGAGGGGCTCCACCTTGTCAGAATAAAATGACAGCAATAATTCAGTTTAGTGGCAGTTATAGCTGTGAGCTGAAAGTAGAACAGTTTTTTTCCACACGTCCCCACCTTGAGGTACTCTCCAGTATGATTTCCATCTGCAGTAAATTTGGGGATCTTAATGCTGATGATGTCATTTCCAATGGCCTGCAGGAAGAAAGTAGCTACCACCCACAGCACATTGATGATAAAGTACAGGAAGACAGCCTGTGAAAATAAAACAATTGTATAAGTTTTTCTTATGTCCTAACACTAAATAAAAATGATTACCGGATTTTTCGGACTATAAACCGCAACTTTTTTTCTGAACTTTGAACCATGCGGTTTATAGTCCGGTGCAGCTTTTACGTGGATTTWTTTCTTCAGCCACCAGGGGGCTCTTATGCTGCATTTGTTTCAACCACTCGCTTCAAAAAAAGAAAGGAAAAAAAGAAGAAAAGAGCGATCGCTTCCAGAGCCGACTGTTGTACCAGGAAGTAGCGATTTAAAGATGGTCAGTGGCCAAAAACGCATAAAAGGGGATAAAACAGACATTTTTCACAGTGGAATCTGACTGATAAAAACTTTGGAGCTTAATCCGGGACCAGTTTGTGGATAAATGTCGAGTGAAGAGCCGGGGACCCACCACATTGCACTCCCCGGGGAAGGAATCCCATGCAGTGACGTATGCTGGAGCGGGAGGGCTTTCCCAGCAGCTCGGCTCTGGGTTTCTCGGTGGAACTATGAAAGGTTAGTGCGAAAACAAACGCCGAACAATCATGTGACGGCGCGTCGACCGGTCGACAGCYRAGCGACCATACTGCCAGCTTAGCCAGAGGTGTAGCACCATTTTGTTTTAGCTAGTAGCAGACACGACACGACGTATCTTCGACAGACATATTGGACAGTATGCGGGCCCACATCACGGATTCGGTGAAAGCAGCCATCAAGAAAACAAATTACGTAAATTCCTGCTGTTATTCCTGGAGGTACAACAAAGTTTTTGCAACCCCTGGACACCAGTGTGAATCGTGCATTTAAAGCAGCATTCAGGGGTGAATGGGAGGCTTGGATGACTGACGGRGATAAATCATTCACAAAAACTGGCCGAATGCGAAGAGCGTCATTTCCTGATGTCTGCCAGTGGATCCTAACAGTGTGGAGCAGAGTGAAGGAGTCCACTATCACCAATGGGTTCTGAAAGGCTGGACTGCAACGTGAAGAGGACACCACAGCTTCAGAGCCAGCATTACCCCAGGAGGACAGCGACACAGAAAGCAACACTGAACAGATACCGCTGTGTGACGCAGCTTTTCTCAACTTGTTTAACTCCCACAATGAAGAGGAGGACTTCGATGGTTTCAGTGCGCCAGAGGAAGATGAATGAGACGTTTTGTTGGACCAGAAACTGTTAAAGAAAACTACCAAAATAAGGTCAGTTATATGAACCGTATTCCTCCGAACTTTAATTCCTAAAGGTTTGCTTTTTATGTTTTGATGTTGAATTCACTTTTTTGATGACAATGTTGGGTGTACTGTTTTTTTTTATGTTGGGGGTGCGGCTTATAGTCCGATGCGGTTTATATGCTACTGTTGGCGTTTAAAAAAAATGGCAGGTGCGGCTTATAGTCCGGTGCGGCTTATAGTCCGAAAAATATGTTCATACACATTTAATACTATTTTTATATTTGACCACTTATGTTTCCTTTTTTTAATTTACGTTGTTTCTGAAGTGAATCCATCCCTCATTTCAATATTTAAAATTAATGAAACACAATAAAAGGACACCTCTGTCATAACAAAACGTGTTTACCTTGTTGCGAAGTGACTTCAGTTCTTTGCGGACTTGCTCCACATGTTCTTTTGTTTCACTGAKAGGTTTCAGGTAACGTTCAATGAGCTTGTCCCAGAAGTCCTTCTCACCCTGAACAGATACATGCAAACAATTGTTTTTGGGATTTATTTATGGGAAAGTTGAGCTACTGGTATTTTAGTTTAGGAAATGGCTTCATTTTTTCTTTAGCTGAAGTGTAGAATAAAAAGCRATGTGTGAACAACTTACCTCATCTAGTCTTTGGACTTGTGGGGCGGCAAGAGTTTTTTCAATGGCGCTTTTAACTCTCTTTTCTAATTTTGGCAACCGATTGTTCTTAAGGATGCGACGTGCCTGAGGTGTAGACAAAGTCAGTCAGAGACACAGTCATCTGTTTCCTACTTGTTTGGGTTTACACAGYTGAAAGCCGTAGAAGTAAATGCACAAATGATCTCAGTTATTATGGTCAAAATGATCACAAATCCAAGGTCAGATTTTTCTGTTTTAATCAAATCATTCACCTGCTTTGTCAGTTCATGTTGCAACACCTCTAGCCTAGGCTGATCCAAAACATCCTCAGGCCCCACATYTCTGAGCTCTGAGTTAAGTGTGTCGGTTAACATCAGCACCAACTCCTCACACACATCATCATAAATTTTGTTGCGGAGTGTGTATCTAAGAAAAATACAAAAAAACAAAAAACAAAACAAAAAACAACTCTAGTTACACAGCTGCAACCACTGCTGTAAAAATAGTTTTTTTTTCAGTGCTCATGTAGGAGTACTTGTTACAAGCTTAACTACAGATGTGCAATTGAACAGATTATTTAAACATGTGAAATCAAGATTTCAGTAAATAAAACTAAGACCCAAATCTTAAAATACCGTATTTGTGCTTGTAGATTTCTCTTCATGTTGGCATAAGTCAGCTTCTTCAAAAACTCCTGCTTCACAGGCTCCACCCACTCTGCAAACACAACAGTCACACTTATGTGCAGGTTGTACATTAATCATGTATAAATTATACTTTTCTCTACGTTGGACCTTTAAAAAATTCAAGCTCTGCTYACCACGGACAGGAAACTCTTCTTCCTCTAAATCACCAGGCAAGAAGTCGTCRTCMTCCTCATCTTCATCATCAGATAAATGTGGAACTGGGCTCTTTTTCCCAACAATACCACTGTTTGCAATAACAAAGTTTCTTTTAGGACTTGATCAGTTTTGTAACCTCTTCAAATGTCTGGCTATGTATTTATATCAAATGTAAAGTTCATGAAAATAGAAGAAAGAAATGARAACTGAATACCTGTCGCTATTTGCAGCGTCACTGTCTATTGACCCATCCTCCTTCATTTTTTCAGCGGCATGATTTTGAGGTTCTACAACTTTTTCTTTGGTTTTAGGATCACCTTTTGGTGCAGCCGGTAAAGATTTATCTTTGCCGGTGGGTAAAAGTGGAACTGCTTGCTGTGTCATGGTCGTGATCTGCTGAAGCATGAGGTTGTCAGTTTCCTGGGTTACCTGCAGATGCAAAAGAATGCGTCAATCCAGCCATTCTTTCAGAGAAACTTTTTAGTTTTTYTTTTATTTTTGGTAGTGATTTGTAAACAATTACCTGAATCTTCATGTCCCAGCAGCAGAGTTTACAGTCTCTATTGCACAAAATGTTTTGATGTTTCTTCTCTTCTCCTTCTCCCCTGATAAAAAGAGAGCAAAAAGGGCATTTAAAAAGTACTGAAAAGAACAAAATAAAAATGTTTCGTGGATATTTTTTTTTTACAAAAGCAAGCAGAGAGCAAAGACACACCTGTTTCATCAGATAAAATTCCACAAGAAAACACTTAATAACATTTTGTGCCTTTTACAGTTTGAGAACTTATCAACAAAGTGCACGTATTCTAGGGATGCACCGATATGAAAATTTCAGCCGTTATCGATATCCGATATAATTATTGTTGTTATGGCCGATAACCRATATTTACTGATATTACACAACCACACAAATTATATTATGCATATACGCACGAACACACATGGGTCTTATTTTGATACTGTAAATAAACGACTTGGCTCCCTACTTCAGTTATTCCTGGCTATGCAGCATCAATAACACTATCATGATCAAACAGATATCACTCAACCAAACATCTCCCCTCCCAAAACAGCTAAAAAGTGGGAAATCAATATCGGATGTTAATATCGGCCCAGTTTTACATATCAGACCGATATTCCAAAAAAATGACCAATATTGGCCGATACCCATATCAATACCGAAATATTGTGCATCCCTAATGTATTCCAAAGCTCTCCTTATAAACGTGCTTATTTTTGCATTCTACTAACATTACTTGTTATTGCTGCATAATGTGACAGTTGCAACAAGTGTTTGCAACTCTTTGAAAAATTTGCAATAATAAGTAAAAAGTAATAAGACACAAAAGGTTATGATTGAAGTAATCATTTTCAAGGAACAGAATACTAAATATGAACTAATCTTCCTTAAAGTGTTTGAGAAAAGAACAAATTTAATGCCTTGATTCTGCTGAACGTAATCATCACCTCCGATTAACCGATGATCAAAACAGCAAATTTTAGGACTCCATGCATTTTTTCAACATCATAATCAGCTCAACATGCAGTAATTGAAAGATGATTTGATAATCGAAATTATGTATTTGCAGTTTAAATCACAACTACTGTAAGAGCAGTTTAATAGCTGCGATCATTGCATTACTTGTTGGACTCCCTTGTGCCCCAAGACACATTGTTCATGTTAACCAGTGAGTAGATGGTTAGTAGGAGGTATCCACTGGGGATACAGATGAAGTACATCAAACCATAGATAATCAAGGCTGGAGGAGAACAAAACATGTAACATTAAATTCCATTTGGAACCATAAAATACCAGTGCAGCACAGCAGWATAACTCTGGTTGTTTTGTTTGAAGGACTTTTATGCAGCTATCTCCTTGATCCAAGTTACAGTAACTGAAGAAATGTTTGAGWTTAGTRGGAAAAATTCACATAACAATATAAACTTACTCATTTCCTCTGGATGTAATATCGCTGTCACCATGTACATAATTGCCATGGACACCAAAAACACGCCCGTGGGGGTCAAGAATGTCCCCTGCACCACCATGTCACCTAAAGGTAGATTTGTTATGAATTTGCATACATTCAGCAACATTGCAAAGAAGATGCRCCAAGTTGTACTCACCAATGATGGAAAAAAAGGATGCGGTCATGAGGAATGCGTAAAGAACACTCATGATGGCAGCAATAGTTATTTGGGTGTTAGCTTTAGTTATGAAACAGATGATGATGTAGAAAACAGGAGGAATGCATGCGATGATGATGGAAAGGGTTCCAGCCATTTGGAAGATAAACTGAAAAGCTCCTGGTTGGAAATAAGTTTAGAGAAAATGTGAGTAAAAATATTTAAAACTATAGTATGTTTTTTTGACTGATGCAGCTTATACTCTGTAGTGACTTATAGTCCAGAAAATATGTTTCACTTTTTAAATTTCTAATTGGTTTCTGATCAAAACTATCTAGTTATGATAAGGAAAACTTGATGGTGTGTATCAAACCATCAAAGAAATATYTAGCATGTTTAATAATGCACTTATAATTTTCATTATCTTTACCAAAAAAAGTTAAGTAATGACACTAAAGGTTTCTTTGAATATTCTGTCAGTTAGCTGTCAAAGTGAAAACTGCAGAAAATTGTGTTGCGCCTACATGATAGTCTGAGTCACAAGTTTATGAGAAAACTTTAAAGATTCTGAGTWTCAAATGTAAAGAAAACTAAAATATGGAAGATTATCTGTTGCAAAACCAGAGGATTTGATGTTAAWAGGAAACAATTAACAGGATTTCAGAGAACTGGAAAATCCCAGGAACGGACAACAAAATGACWAAACTTGCCTGCTATCATTAGAGTYACAGAGGCTGGTCCCAGAATAGAAGATCCGACGGTGAACATCTGATAGAAGATGTAAAGCCCGGAGATGGACTGGTTTCTCTTCACTGTTTCYTTACCACTGTATTCAGATACAGAAAGAAGCGCATCAGGATAATAAAGCTTCAGTATAGACAGAGGAAGAACCAGTAGAATTGACTGAAAACCCTAAAAATTAGAGACTGATTTAAAGCTKTACAACATATTCAATRTGATCAAGAACAAAACACCAAACAATGCTTTGATTCACAAATATGATKGTTACAAAATAKAAACCTGTGCAAAAGGTCCAGAGTATTAGCCAGTGTAGAAGGTCCCCATCGCCGCCTCTGGTTGTAAAACTCTTTGAACTCCTGCGGTGAGTTGGTGTATGCATCAGAAGCAGCATTGTATTCGACGCGCCACCCTTGTTGTAGGAGCAGGGTACACAGCCATCGATCCTCCCCTGAAAAAGCATAAATGTCAACACCTAACTTTGGCACAGAGCAGTCAAAGATGGAAATAGGAATGCAATATATATATGTATAGAGAGAGAGAGAGAGAGAGAGAGAGAGAGAGAGAGAGAGGTTACCTTGATCATACTGCACATATTGTGCTCCTTTTGTTGCAGTTGTTGTGTATCTCTTCAAAACGTTGTCATCCATTAGGGCAGACCCCCGAAACAGACTGAAACATCCTGGACTGCACAACACAGAGCCAAACACGTGTTCAGCTGTCTTCTGCAGCCAATGACCTACTGCRTACTCAAACTTCTGGTACCACACCATGGGACCTGGGAGAGTTGGAATGGTATAATAAGAATAATTAATTGTACAAATATACAYTACTTTGTAGTCTTTTTTAGTTGGGGTTGCACATTTCTTTTATATTTAAGCCTATGTTAGGTCAGATTTAATTACAAATTATTTTGCATTGCAGATGTTGGCAATCAGACTGCAGAAACCTGAGACAAAATATGTTGGCAACATACTACCCTGTCTGAGAGTATATGTGTTCTTATATAMACACATGTGTGCGTGCATGCATGTGTGTGTGTGTGTATTCTGGAGTACCAACATAAAAAGTACAGAAGACAGGCGAGCCATTAAAAGGGACAGCTTACCCATACCAGTAGGATGAATCCTACCACATGCTGCTCCTACATTGTAATACATCCTCAGCCTGTTGGGAAATATAATTTTCATTTACAAATAACCAACCAAACAAAAATGTCTCAATCTCTGTATTTTCTGGWTTTGTGTCTCAAAATATTAAGATCTTCTTTCTGAACCAAAGCAGCATAAAGAGGCTAATCTGTTTGTTGCTGACCTGTCTACAAGCAGAACCACTGCTTTAGGTTGAAAGTCAGTATCTCCATCCAAAGCCAGAATATATGTGTTATCCTCTGGGATAAACTTTCTCTTGTTGTCATTGTCGTAYTGAGAATACACAAAAATCTCTCCATCCATAGAGGTCAAACTGTCTCGGCCGTTATTCAGACGCTGGAATAAGTGGGATAGATATTTAACATATTGCAGGTRATTACAGTAATAATAGCTAAAACAGATGGAAGAAAACTCTTACTGGGATTTTCTGAGGGTTCTTGGAAATGTAACCCTTCCAGCCAAGCAGGTAATACATGTACATGATCTGAAAACCATCAAGACATTTGTACGATTAAAATTCATAATATTACAAATAAAAAAAATGTCTATCACATTTTCTGTTGTGAACTGTTGGGTTTAGAGGTTTTGACTTGGTAGGCAAAATAAGCAGGAGGTCCTTTATTAGAAAATGGGTCCAAAATAAGMCAAAACAAATACATTTCCACCCCCACGCATGTATTCTCATACCTGAGACCATCTTTTCTTGTTCCTGATCCGCTCTTTGTCTTTTAGGTGAACATATAGGATGTTCCCTTCTGGCAGGACAAACAATAACCTTCCACCATAGGGAGTATCAATGATTGACACATCATCTGGCTCTTTGTTSGTAAATACCCTGAATAGAACATTGTTTTACTTAGGTGAATACATACAGAATTCTTTTAGAACATTGTGTTTATGTRTGGTAGGTGAAAAACCTCACCTATAAACCTCCAACACAACATGGATCAAGTCTTCCACATATGAGTTGACCAGTCTTATTTCGGAGCCCTTTTCCGACATAAAGGCATCATCAACAAAAACGTGACATTCAAAGTCAAAACAGTCCTTGTGTTCYTCTTTTGGATCACCTCGATAGCGGTCCAACCTGAAACAATAGYAAAAAACTACAATATAATATATTCACTATATTGTCTGAAATGTTTTCTTTTTAAACCAAACAAACAAAAAAGAAAGCACGACCAGAAATATGAAAATGACCACATAGGTTTAAAGGAATACCAGTCTAGGCAACACATTTACTTTACATTTTCAGCTCATGAATATCTTCACGTTAAATCCAGGAATATAGTCAACAAAAAAGAAAATGTTTAAGATACTTTGAATTCTTTAAAAAAGAGGCTCCCAAAGTGGGGCCCTCTGGCCAAAATTGACCTGCCAAGTCACATTTAAAATATAATGTGAACAGTGTGTAGAGAGAAAGAGTGTCTCATACCGGAACATGGAAGTAAGAATCTTCAGCATTTCGTCGTATGTCTCGTGCCACATGGTGGCACAAAGATAGATCATACAGCTCTGCAGTTCATCTTGACTACAAAGGAGAGAGAGAGAGAGRGGAGTGTGGACTCTTAGTAGAAACTTTGTCATATTTCAGACCATTAACATTCATCTGTAAATCAGTTTTACTGTTTAAATCTCAAATTCCACAAAGCAGTTATATATTTATTATATAACAACAATGTCTTTGTATAAAAAGCATGGTTTTAGATKTGTCAAAATATGTAAATTGTAAATAAAACCAAAAATTAAAGTTCAAATCTGATGTTTGTCTGCTTGTCTTGTACACATAATTGTTTCTTTTTAGCCCCTTTCAGAGAAGGACTCTACTCTGATGGCATATGTGCACCAACTACAGGTTTGAGAAGGATTTTCTTTTATTATTGATGCTTTCAATTCAACCATTTTATAAATAAACATGAACATTTTCTAATTGGAAAAATACTGTAACATTTACAAGCCAAAGATGTCATAATTCTGTGTTTAAGAAATGCTTCCCTACATGTTTTTTCATGCCATTTCTAATATTATAATAGTAAAAAAAAAAGGTTAAAATTCAGAAAACTCTGTTCCCAGTCAGATTCTTCTTACTTCTCATTGGTTTGAGCTTTTGGAAGCTTCATCTTTGTGTTGAGTAGTATAGACAGGTCAATGAAAGCAGATTCATAGAGCCGCCGGACAAAGAGCTGAGAGGTTCTTTCTATACGCTGGACCTAAATGAATAAACAGAAGTATCAGGGTAAATGTCTTTGTGCAACAAGGTGATTTTAACTTGGACAATAATGGAGTCTTTGATTTATGTGTCTGTTTTGAGGCTTTGGTTATTCAAGGATATTCGTTTCATACTTGTGAGCCATGAATTACAACTTATTTTTCATAAAAGATTTGTGGCTGCTGTGATCATATTGATACCTTGATCTTCCAGACGTAGTAGGTACTTGTCACGAAACCTAACCACATGCACACTCCCTCCAGTGCCAGCATGGCAAAAGGCCATTGAAAGTAGGAGCTGACAATCAAAAAAGTTCATGAAGTTTAAACATCTTATTGGCACTAGTTTCATTTAAAAAGTGTTCGCAAAAAAAAAAAAAAAAAAAAGAAAATCTGACTCATCTGACTCATTTCTGCTGAGTTAACAAACCTTTTAAGTGATGTCCGGCAGATGCTCCAGGTCATCTCAAGCATAGGCACAGATGTTGTGTTACTGTTCTTCAGGTTCTCCAAGCTATCACAATACGCTGCCAACAATTAAATATGTAAAAACAATTAGAAATAGTTTCTAATATGTCCCAGTCTCAATCATTTTTATTGAGAGTACCTTTAAATTAAATTTTCAAAATGTTTATGTTTATTTTTCCTGCACTTCTGTGTTGTCCTGATGCATCTCAATAATCCACTTCTGTGTTACATTATCACTAAGAAGTAGCACAGTAAAAGACTAGATTGTACTTTATTGTAAAAATCACTGTAACTTGCCAGGATCAAAGTTCAAGGGAATGCAGCCTCAACAGGTCATGGTTATTGCAGCTAGATAGATAACAGGTAAAATTCCTTTGAAAAAAGGAGGAAACTCATGACTGCTCATAAGAGAACAGGAGCTTTATTGCTATGCACACCAGTGTGCCTCAATAAGCTTATAGAACTGTGTAAAACAAACATAACATAAGAGTTAATAAAAATAATTAAGGAAATCTCACCAATGATAGTGTCTGCGTTTGAGCCATCTAGTGCTTTTGCCTGTGTTAAGAAAAGAATGAGTCCCAGCCCGAGCACTGCAGGTCCCGTGGAGCAAAGAGGTAGAGCAAAACTCATCCTAACAGCATGGATTTTGCAGGCCACCACACCAAACCAGTGGCAGGCTGCTGCGCAGAAGGCCTGGTGGAAATGATAWGTAAGTATTTGTTAGACTCACAATGCACTAATTGGATAAAGATTTTTTGGATTTTTTAATTTAGCAGTTCTGGTTATATACAGTGGCATTTATCCATTTAGGAATTGATGCACAGTAATTTATCAGGTTATGTATTGTTTGCAAATAACGTATTCCTGTAGTAAATTTATGTATCTTGAAATACAGCATTGCAGCATATTTGCTGTGCTTTTTAGGATGGTTGTACTTTTGTTTTACCTAAATAAAACCTACTGAAGTGGAATCCTTCAGCTTTCAAGTAGAGTTAAAATTTTACATTTGTTGTGTTTCTCAAAATCCACCAAGGGAAGACAAAAAACCAAACCAAACCATGTTGGACTCAGGATATTATACTTTAACATACTTTACATACTTAACATTTTTCTTCTTTTAACTTACCTGTAGGAAAAGAAGTACAAGTCCTATTTGTAGGAGTTCCCAATCATAACCCTGCAGATTGAAGTCTGACCAGACAATGGTTTTAGCAATGAGCACGTCATAGATAAGGTACACCGCCCCTACAAGAAAATAAAACATACGACATATTTAGATGACAGAAAGCAATTTAAAACATACAATCATTAAAGCTACTCATTGCAACTCATAAGGACCTGTGGGCGAAGAAACAGAATCCACAATATGTTGTTCTCATACTGACGGTTGATGTGCATTTAAATAAAAACACAGCGAAATTTGTGAACGGCCAACATCTAATGTGTAATTTTTTACCCACAAAAACGACCAAACAGAGGTAAATAAAATATTCCAAATRAATTACCATGTAACAGTAAGTAAGTACTTAAGTACTGTAATGGAGAAAATGTATTTAGTTACTATACACCTCTGCAAACAAAGTACCTTCAGAGAAAAGCTGTTTGGAATCAAGTGTATAAAAGCTGGAGTTACTGCTTGGCCTGGATGTTTACAAAATGTGTGTGTGTGTGTGTGTGTGTGTGTGTGTGTGTGTGTGTGTGTGTGTGTGTGTGTGTGTGTGTGTGTGTGTGTGTGTGTGAATGCTGAGTTCTTTTAATTTGATGCTCCACCAGTATTTATTGTCTTTCTTGATCTTTTTGTTCTCTTTTACAATTTGCAGATTCACTTAGTTTTTCTAACTAAACCACTTTGATAAGATTCTTTGCTTTCCAATTCTGGCTATTTTGTTTACAGACTACACCCAGCCTAATGTAGAACAATGACACAAGYTTCAAAGTGGTTTAAAACACTTTCATTTGAGTGTTTAGTTTACATGGAGTACCAGTGTTTTAGAATTGAATGTCAGCATGTCTATAAACCTTGTGGAGTAAAGTTTTTCAAACAACACTATTTGATTTAGGTCTGGATAACTTTTTTATGTTTTATTTTGTCGTTTGCAATGAGTACTTTTAATATCAAAATGCAGTTAAATAAAACATTACTGTAATATGAAAAATGAGTTAAGTAATGGGTGGTACTGCAGAAATGGATGGCTGATATCTACCTATCACGAGTATTCTCAGAATGCTGCTGATTGTATAGACAAAGTCCCTGAAACCTTCCAGTTCTGACAGTGTTTCCTGTTGTAAGACAGAAAAAAAAGTTTATGAAGTCAGTGTATGACGATAAACAACTAACATCGACAGTAAAAAAAAAACAGAAATATGACAACAGATGCTTTTATGAAGTAAACAAAAAAAAAAATAAAGCAGATGAGTCCAAGTATTGAACCCAGAGGAACTCCAACTCCATTGCTAACTACTGGCATGGAGCAGCTGAAAGTTTTGTCACAGGTAAACATCATACCTGCATGCGGTGTGTAGCCTGCATGGTGTTTTCCCACCAGCACAGGGAGATAAGGAGAGAAGAGAAAATTCCTATTGCCACGAAGAAAAATACGTTTTCTTTTCCATTCACAAACATGGCATCACGGACGTAGTAGTCCATTCCCAGCAGGGCGTAACCTGTCAATCAGTCAAATACAGTTTTAAACAAGGAAACTAAAATCCAATCACACATTAGCTTTTTCTGCTAAAAGAGAAATATGTTCTTAAACAAAATACTAATAGTAATACATTTCCACAGTTTTATCAGCATCAACATGTTTTCTTTCTTTCTGGTTTTAGACTTAACAGCCTTTAATAGTAGAACTGTGAAAATAGAAATATAAAATTGCAACACTAACATCTAATTTGGGAACATTAGATAAAGAAGAATTTCTGGATCATTACCAACACTTGTGAAAATGAGGGAGCAGATTGGGAAGATGATTTTCCACTTCTCTCTTTGCAGTCTGAATACTATCTGTAATATTGCAGACACGATGCAGACTCCTCCACTGATGAAGAGATTAGTCAGTATGTCGAACCGAGGCATGACAACGAGAACCAGGACTGAAGTACCAAGGGACACTAAACATTCAATGGTACAAATCTGGAAAAGACACAAGAACATTCTTAGATTTCTGCTCAGTAACAAACACACACACACACAAACAAAACTTTGCAGTTATAGGACACTATTGTGTGATGGATTAAGTTTAGAGAAACATACAAGTCCCATGGTCCTCATGTTGGGTGTTACAAAACTCTTGAACGCACAACGCCAAAAAGATTTCAAAAAGACCAGGAAGTTTGGGCAGACCAGGCAGAACACCAGCATCAGCTTGTAGAACTGCCTTTGTTTTTTGTCTTGCAAAGAATGTGGACTTGACAGAGTTGACAGCATCAAAAGGGACCCCTTAAAGAGAACATAAAAGAAAGAAAATCAGCTGAGACATAAAAACAATTCTGTTATTATACATAGGCTTCTCTGTTTAATTTTAAAAGTTTAAAATAATTTTCAGGGAAACCCTTTTTTTCTCCAGGGCCTTCTGCAAAGTACATTTATAGATACTCCTCATCTTATAATACTCATTTAGCTGCAAACAAATAAGGAAGTCCAGTCCTGGAAAATCAAACACAGTGATTTATAGATTTTCATGGCATGCGCTTCACTGCAAAGACAGCAGGGAATACAAGAACAAAGTGCTGAACTGAGATGTGTAAAAGCAGTTAAATATTAACAGGGGATCTTGAGGATGTTATGTACAAGGAACAGAAATATATCCACTGAYAGACATTTTTAGGAGAAATGGCCAGGTCCAAAAGGATCATGGAGTCTAAAGTTCTCCCTGAACATTTGCAGTATTTTCTAAAATAATTTTATTCTTTTAAAATCAAGGAAAACTGTTGTTTTGTTTTGATGTTTGATAAATACAAATTTTAAACTTTTTAAACATCTTTCGAAAACAAGTATTACTAACTTCGTCCTTGGGGACTTTAAACTACAAGAGATTTATCAGCTGTGCAACAGCTAAAAATTCTTGATGTCAAAATTCCAAAGGCCTGCTATGTGTATATGGAATTATTGACAAAACAACCTGAAATTAAAGGAACGTGTTAAATAAACCATAAAAACCCCAAAAAGCAAATATTTTAGCTAAAGAACTTAGAATTAATATTAGTTTTTTTCAACCTGTACTTATGGGTAAAAGGTACCGGTAGTTTAATTGTTTGTTGATTTAAATAAAAGAAGGATACAATATTTGGTAACATGTTATAATAACTACACCTTATTTAGTCTTACTTAATCATTAATAAATGGTTAGTTATCCTTGAAAAGTCATTAATTAAGGATAACTCTTACTTGATACACTTTAAAATAACAAATGACACATTAATTAATGCTTTACCCATAAAGGTTAATTGCTTCCAAAACCAATATACTCATTGTTTATTCATGCTTAATAACTCATGAATTAACTTTTCTATATACTTCATGCATATGTATGTAAATGCTGATATAAATATGTACTTTCTCACCATGTTTTAGACATATTTGAATTGACTATTTACTAATCCTGCAGTGCATCAATAAGTAAGGCAGTTACTATTAGTTAAGTCTTTTTGTGAACCCTTCTAAAGTGAAGACTGTGATTTTTTAAAGTATTTAAGTATTTGTTCATCTTTCTTTGTGATGGTTCTTCTCTGTGTTTCTTGACATTAACGGTATGAGAGGAAATGAAACAAAAAATATCAATAGTACAGCCTTTTCTATAAAGATTTTAACCTTACCTTGGCAACAACAGCGCTGACTAAAACTGCCACTCCCACAATTACAGCCACAAGATACTGGGCCAGCACAAAACATCTTCTTTTCTGCTCCTTCTCTGCTCCCACAGGATTCAGCTGGAACGGATCCCATGTGTCCCTGAGACATACGTCAACAAATGAGGGTCAAAGCCTTTACTGACCAAAACAAAATAATCCTTTTATGATTTCACATGTTTTTATAAAACAAACTGTACTGAATAAATTCAGCACAGCATTGGGTGGACGGTTGTAGCGAAGCTTGAATTCCAAAGTTCTCAAAAACAAGCCAAGTTGATCAAATATAAGTATTTTTTATAATTCCAGTTTTTGGTTATGCATAAATGAAATTTGAAAGAAGCTTGTTATTTGCCACTTAATGACAATTGAAGGAATGCATATTGTCTACTGCCTGTCATGCTATAGCATTTTAACATCATTATAACATTTTAAAATCATCTTGTGATGAGACATGATGTAACTGTACCAGTTTTGGTTAAACTTTGAAAATAGATTATGTGCAACTGCATCATGTAATTTCACATTTAACTAAATGAATTCCACTATATCCATTTTTCTTTTGGCTCTGCTGAATCACCGTGGCAGCTACTGTAATTCAGATTGACCCAATGAAGGTAATAAATTCATGAATGTTTCACCCAGTGGTTTATGAAATATTTTGCTAAGAGACAAATAAAACAGACTCCAACATGTGAAGCAAATGTTCTACGCAAAAACCTTGTACGATAAGTCAGCCCCTACCACATCAAATTTTAGCTCAATATCTGTAAGACAGACTCATTTTAACCCATTTTGTTAAAAAACAATAAAAATAATAAAATCTGGTAAAAGAAAATACAAAGATTTTAGAATTTATGAACAGACACAATTAAAAACACAATTCCCTGCCATTTTTATCATAGGTGGGTCATAGCAGACAGCACATTTCACTAGACGTTCAGGTAAAGTCTGATTGGCAGAAATAGTTTATAACTTCATGAAAATGTTCTTAATTTTATTTATAGTTAAAGATAAGTGAACAGAAAGGTTTAACGTTGAAATAAGCTTGTGTAAACATGTCTGCCTGTACCTGTTGCTACATAATCACTTCGCTGTTGTACTATTGACCTTCTCTGTCATTCCCTTTGCTGGATGATTAATGTCCACACAGTAATAAACAGGGTGTAACCTTACTTTGAATTGATAACACTTGGTGATTCTAAACTCTGTCATGGCGACAATCAAAAGTGTCCAGATTCAACATGATCACATCCAGGCTGGCAGACAGTTTTCCTATTAGACAGAGTCCACACGGTGAACTCTTTACATCATTACCAACAAACTCATAGTTATTACAGTATGTATTCACACACACTCTCCTTCAGTGCTTTTCCCCCCTTTTGTAAGACAACCATTGAAAACCACTGAGCTGCAACTATTGTATTTCAGCGACATTTTAAGGAAGTAATTTAGCATTTCAAACTGTCCAGTGGTTTATCACACAGCGCTAAAATCATAAAAGGCTAGTCTTTAAAAAAGTTGCGTAGGTCCTCTGGACAAGTTCTTTGATGAAAAAAGTTTTGTTTCACTTCCAAGAGACTTCTCCAGTGTGAGGAGGTCAGAGTAGCCTTATAAGCAGTGCTTTCTTGTGGTGGATAAACAAGTTAACAATGACAATCAAAGCAGTTTGTTCCCATGCAAAAAATGATCACCATTGTTAGGGCCCTGATTATCACCTATTGATCACAGGGGGCTGAGTCAYACTCGCAATAAAAACATTCCAAGAGGGGGAAAACTGGACACCCCTGTTTAATAACGAATTGTTTCTCTTCACAAAAATGGCTTCCTTTACTCCTCTCTCAAACCAACATTCCTCTCTATCAAGAATGAGAACATCTTCATCCCTGAAAGAGTGACCGCTGGCCTGTAGATGAGTGTAAACTGTAGTGTCCTGGCCTGATGATGTTTTTCTTCTGTGTTGGACCATTCTTTTGAACAGTGGCTATTTTGTTTGTTTTGCTCAGTGTACAACTGGTTACAGCCCTCCTGACACTTAACAGCACACACAACATTACTCTTTCGGGAGACCGGATATTTGGGGTGAACCAGTCTTTGCCTTAATGTGTTTTGGGGTTTGAAAGCCACTGGGACGTCATGTTAAGAAAATAAACATCAGAGTTTCTCTAAAACTCCCACAAAAATATGCAATGACTACTGGTCTGGGTCTGAGTTTGAGGCCATTCTATTCATCGTTCATTTTTTGTCTGCTTTAAGGGAAGCCCAGTTAGGATAACCACATTGCTTCAGGGCCTGTCTTGTTTTTCTACCTGGATTACTGAGATGYATTAGGAAGGTTAGTCTTATGTAAACCTGTTTATGTATAGCATTTTCAGTGTAAAGGTATGTATTAGTACATATATTTAGAATTTATTTAACAGCAATGCAACCCATTTTATAAGGTATTGAAAACCACTATTAGATTTACAAGTAATGATAATAAAAATGACAATGGTTTTGTTAAGTTTCCATTTCCTTGACTATGTTGTACAGCTTTGTGTGCATAAGCATGTCTGCCAAGTTGCAAAGACTAAAGTTCACACTGAAGACATTGCCACAGAAACCACTGCTCCTCCTGACCAAGAAATGTTTTATAATGAGCTGCTCTTAATGCATGTATGTATCAACAGGTCATGTTATGTAATACCTGCTGAGTCACTAATTGGCAAACCCCAATTATAAAATAAAAAAGCTACCTCATGCTTCTTCTTCCTTTATATCTAAGATCAAACAAACTAATACGGAATTGGATTTATTTTGGGTGGCTGTGGATACTTAGCACAAAAAGAAAGGAAAGTTTTGTTTGATAGATTATTTCTTTGTTGTAACAATGCTTCTAGGCAATTAATTTTAACAGACACCTGATTGGCAGCACCTGGGGGTACACTAWCACTAACATACACTAACAATAAATAAAAACATTTCTAACAAAATTTAAAACTTTAATCTCTTTTCTATGACACAGACATTATTTAGTTTTTTTGATTGATGTAGATTGAAGCAGCTTCCAGACTCAGCTGAGACAACACAAGTCATAAACTATGTACCTTTTTAGTTTTAGAGAGGAAAGCACCGATTTTTTAAAAATCAGATGTATAATTTTGTTTTATCRGCACAAACAGAGATAGTCTGACATGCTCTCACTGCACAGTTTGGAACCAGATGATTTCAACTTGCCTAGATCTAAATTCAYAACCCTCTAGCAATTTTGCCATTAGCCGATGGCAGAGTGACCATTGTACAGCAGTTAGATTTTTGTACCATTTTTTTTGCCAAGAAACTTGACTCCTTTTATGTCTCAGAGTTACCAATGTAGAGAATGTGATTAAAACCTTAGTATGTATTTAACATTTTAAACAACCCCTCTAACAGCAGGCATTAGCTGTGGGGATGATATCAGCCAAGCAATAAAGAGAAGCACAGCAGTGCACAGGGGAAATTAACTGTTCCATCAAACTGTAAATTATATTTAATTGAAACCTGGTAATACAAGCGAGCAGTTTTTAATTTTATCCAACACTAACATCTATCCCGCTAACAATTAACCTCCTAACAATGATGAAGAGGTTAATAAAGTTTGATTGTGTGCCTATATGGACAGGAAATGGAATAGTTTTCCAGTTTTAAGTTGCCTGTGAAATGTATTTCTCTCCCTCTCAGTGGCAGTCCATATAACACAACTTTACAATTTAGAGTCACWTTACATTTCAAACTGTGTCAAAATGTCTAGTGTTACTAGACATTTTTTGAGTTCAGTCATTTTTGCTTTAGGGAAATGTGCTGCTTTGCTTTCAGTAAAATGCAGGAAAAAAATTCAGACACTTTCAGGATATTCTTACAAATCAAGCCTACTCCGAAATGAACAAATCACTTGTAAAAAAAAAAAGCAGCAATTTGTTTTATTTTATATCTAAGGAACCAATAATTCCTTTCAGAGCCCATACTCAAGTGTTGGGGAAGTATGATCGTACATTTTCATATATTATACGATTCCATGAATATTTTTCATCTTATCTCTACAGCAGAAGGCTAATAAGAAGAAAAGAACAAACTGTATCTCCGTTAACCACAATTGTGTGCACTGTATTTAATCATGCGGGCTAATTAAGATCAAAGTGTGCTAACTGGGCTGCCATTAACCTAATTGCAATTYACCATTCTGTATCCATTTCCTGCCAAATACTGTTCTCAGTTTCTTTTCTGTGAAAGACGGTATCTTCTTGGACAAAGCAGAACATAATAGAAGATGGATATTTACCTGTGCCTGGCCTCTCTTTTCTTCCCCCTATATTTTAGTTCCTCCATTGTCCTGCTTTACTCGCCTTCTMCAGCAGAGACCTGAAATTAATGAATATTATTTTGTTATTATCCACATTACAGGGTGGATTTTTAAGTGAGAACATTATAATGAGTGTCACATTTAAAAGAAATGTCTAAACAAAATTTCGGAATTATAAAATGAGCCAAAAAAAATTTACCTCGATTTCTTGATAACTCTTCTTCAATTCAGTCTTCTTCGTGTTCTGTCTTCAGTTCAAATTCAGATTTTCTTTCCATAAACTTTCCCAAAGGCAGACAGGGTGTAAGAACTTACATTGTAATCCAACCCTGTCAGTGTGTTAAACTGCTGGTCTGTGGATCACTTCGTCCTTTGCTCTTCTGTGTCTCTGCGTTATCAATGGCTTATAAAAAACACCCATACAGTCAGTTTCAGCCCTCTCAGGTGTGCTTTGATTATCTTGGTTTATGAAAGATAAGAAGACCAGGAAGTTCATGTGTGGGGAGAGTTATTGRCAAGTCACCACGAGCACAGGGTTACAGTACCATCAGCACCCAATAAGATTCGTAATTTGATGTGTGTGCGTGTGTGTATGTGCATGCATGGAGGAAACAAATTGAAAATTCTCTGTGGCAAATAACTTTAGGTTATTGCTGCAAGTTTTATGAGAGCAATAGGATGGTACAAGGGTCATTTCTGCTGAAACTGAACCAAGTGATAGACAACTGGAACATGGCCACTCCCTCATACAGCTCTGGGATGTTTTCATTAAACTTGGCCCGACATTTTGTGTCATTTCCTGGTTGGGTAGCAAAACTTTTTCCTGTGTTTGTGTGGTGATTTTTTTTTTATTTGGATGTCTCTGATTAAGTACATCACAGAAACAGGACATTACTCCTAGTTTTAGTTAAATGATGATAAAATTGCAGTTCTAATGTTCTAAAATAAAGACAATGTCCTCTTATTCTTTAGCTCTACGCGTAATCCCACAAAATCCACCCATTCATTGCTTTAACCTGCTTCTTCCTTTCAGAGTCACAGGGGTCACTGGTGCCCATATCCAGCAGTCACTGTGTGAGGGGTGGGGTACACAAGTCACAAGTCCATCACAGGGACAAACAAGACAAACAACCACTCTCACTCTCTCACTCACACCTGATCCTTCAACCATTTCTTTACATTAAATGTAAATGTTGTAAAGTACTACAATATCAAACAGTTACAAGTAAAGACTTCCACATCCCTTCTGTTCTGACTAAAAAGAAGTTTTGTCCACATAATGTTGATCTGAATTTGACAAAACAGTCTCCTCTAGAGGAAGCTCAGGTGGACCTGACTTCTGCTTCATCACAAGATTTCATTAACACCCAAAGAGGTGGTGGTGCAAGGGTCTTAAACATTTTAYACACCAAACTGACACTTGCCATAAAAATAAAATCTTCAAAAGTGGGGTCTTTCTGTGCGGAGTTTGCATGTTCTCCTTGTGCTTGCGTGGGGTTTCTTAGGGTACTCCGGTTTCCCCCATCCCCACAAAAACATGTACAATAGGTTGCCTTCAGGCCCAGACCTCCCTTGAAAAAGAGATCTGGGATCTCAGTGGGACTTGCCTGGTTAAACAATGGTAAATAGTTAAATAACGATAAATAAATAAAAACTTGTATTTTTTGACAATATTACAATAATAAGAGAGAGTTTTATTTGGTCAAATATTTCGGGCTTGTGTTTATACAGACTATGAAGGGATTGAAAAATTGTTTTACTTGTATGAGTTCAAGTTGTTATGCAATATGTAAAATGAGGAAATATGGAATACATGTACTCATGATGACATACAAATCTAAACTGAGATACAGTTTTAGAAATTTTGTAAATATGCTTCTGGACAGATTCAACCTCTTGGTTTTTTTGTTCTTTAATAATCAYATCATACAGACTAGTTGAGTATTTTCTTATTTAAAAAACAGTTTCATTCAGTTTGATTGCATCATTAATTATGACCACGGATTGACTTTTAGTTTAGTTGTTTTTGCCTTATAAAGTTGAGCTTTCTGCTGATAAATAAGCAATTAGAACAGTGTTATTAATGTTCTTTTTATTTGCCACACTTAGACTATTGTGACTCTTAAAGTCTAGTTTAACTTTAAGTCAAGAGTCTTAGAGTTAGTCTGAATTTCTGCTGCTAGACTGCACAATAAGACCCCGTCTCCCTCTCACACTGGCTCCTAAATCCTTTTTCATCTCTCTGAAGCCATAAACAGCCAGACTCCTGCTTATGTCAGTGAACCTTTGACTCCTTACACACCTTCCAAACTCCTGCAATCTTCTGATCAAGACTTTTCTGTTCTTCACTGCAGGCTGATAACACAAGGGTTACTGTCAAAACAGTTTTTAATCAGCTGATATTTAATTTACCTATGGAACACACTTATTTACATATATTCACCACTTTGTTTGCACATTTTAATAACTCAGTTTGTAATCTTGTTTTCCCAATGTGTTATGGAAAATAATAATTTATGTTATGTTTTCTTTGTTTAACAGCTCATGTAAAAATTATGATTGATGTTCAACACTGATCCCTGTATTTTTGACTTACTATAATTTGTAATGATTTAAAATATTTTACATCACCCTGGATGCTTGTCAAAAGAAAAGCTGACAAAAAAACAAAGCCAGCGCGCCTTTAATCAGTCTAAGTGTTGGCCTTTTTATTTTTTCATGTCCATTAGTGTTTGTTTTTCACCACTGGGTGTCACTGCAGCGCTTTGATTTTAACTCCCGTCTGTGCTTCAATCATTTTTCACATTTCAGTCGTGAGTTGGCAAAGGGACAGGCTGTGGAGAAGAATCTTTTTCTTGTAATCACTCTTTTTACGCTTCATCTTTAAGAGTGCATTTAGCCCTGGGCTTGCATGCTAATTGTGCCTGAGTGTATGTTTGGTGTGGAATCAAAAGAATGTCAGTGTCACTCCGTGGACTCTCATTAAGATGCTTTGCCAGTGTGTAATAATCCGGCCATATGGTCATGGTGGTGGTAGCATCTTCCTCCTCCTTCAGGTGGTTGTGTTTGACCGAGTTCCAACAACACAGCACGACAGGCGTGCTGATTTTGGAGCTTTATTGTGGTGATTTGTAAGCCTGAGCAATATGAAAACAATCTTTCTTGGCCTCCTGAAAAGGAGGTGTGCACAAACAAGAAAAAAAACTGTTCAAAAATGAGTTTAGAGTCTGTCATTCCCCAGTAGCTGTGAACTCGGCTCGAACAGTCCTGCTCCATCATCTGTGAAATGTGGTTCACATCACAGTGGTGATGTTACACAGGGCATTGTTTCTGCTTCTCACAGCTGATGCCACTCAGATCTACAGGAAAGGTCAGTAGATGGGTACCCAACCCTGACACTGATTTGGTCTCACGGAAATCTTTGGTGCCAGAGTTCTGTATAATTAGTGGCCATGTGGGCTCTGTGGTGAGAATAACTTCCTGCAGCAGACACACATGGAGAGGCTGACGCTCATCGTTCACTGGCTTTACAGAGGCTGTAAAATCTCAATAAAGGAGTAATTTAGATCAATATTTTGACCTAAACTCTTGATATCTGGTTATGACTGCTTTCTTGTTTATTCTTCAAAAAGGAACAAACAGAATTGATTTGAAACATAAATTTAGACGTCGTGTTTAGCTCAGTGGTGAAGTTATCAGTGCTGTCATCTCACAGCGAGAGTTCATGACTTGCCTGCAGCCCTTCTGTGTGTTTGCATGTTCTTCTTCTGTGAATGGGTTTTCATCAGAAACATGAGTGTTACATTAAGTGGAACTTCAAAAATCAAACAAGTGATTGACATGTTGTATTTGGGATAGTTRTACAGAACCAACCTTTTGAGCTCATCATGTTTTGACTAGACTTCCAGCTGCTTAAAAGCCAGAACAGGAAAAGAAAATGTAGGAATGTATGAATTTCACCATAAAATATAAGACTGAAACTGTGGCTACARGCTGATTTATGATTATGGCTTTTGTGTAAATGGTAAATTGTGTGAAAAGCTGCTTTCAACATAGAAGCGTACAATAACAGATTTTATATGATTTATTAATAGAATCAGAATAAAAACCTTATTGTCAAGTGCTTGTACACAAGAATTTTCTTCTTGGTCACTGAATCAAATTCGATGGTTGTAGAGTTGTATCAAACAGACTCAGAACGAGATGAATAGAATGGGCTCTGAATCTTTCTTTCAGTTTGCAGATGAATCACAGTCTCTGCTGAGTATTTCCTTTGAGAGAAAAGCTGTGGGTTGTTCATTTCAGGTTATGGGTGATGGTGGAGGAACCTGTAAGACTCCATAGTAGCCAGGGTTCTGTTCTCAATGGTGAAGGTYAGGTGCTTTATGGAGAGCTTCTTAAAGTCTACTGTCCTCTTTACAGTCTTCTGCAATGTTATGATGTCTTCACCATGCAGCCTCAACCTCCTTTCTGTAAGCAAACTTACTGTCAATTACTAGCCCAGAGCAGGCGGACAACTGCCATGTTATATGCAAACTTTAGACTTAACAGTAGTAGACTAAGAGACAATCATACRCTACCAGGATTTAATTTCTTTCAGTGTCTCCTTAGTTTGCACAGAACTAGGGGAAAAAGCCTTCTCTTATTCTGCTCCATCTTCCTGGAATTCACTGCAGCAAGAACTGAAACTGTCCAGTTGGATCCCACTGGGACATTACATTAGGTTTCAACTGGTTTTTACACACATTAGGTTTGTTTAAATTTTGCTCTCTGTTATGTGCTTGTTTTACAGGTCTTTCTTGAAAATGAGACTACCGGTACCTGTCTTACTGAGACCTTTCTAAATAAACGTAGTTGCGGGGAAAGCACACACCCCTGAGGTACACCAGTGATGACTTCTTGGAGTTAGATGTCACTTTTTCCATCATCACTTGCGGTCTTCTTATTAAAAACAGCAGTTAATGAGCCAAAACAAGTTTATCACTGTAACTTACAGCACATTCAGATGTTTGACAGAAAAATAACACGGCGGAATGCATTTTCTATTTGATGTTTGCTGTCAATTGTATCAGCCAATAACTTTCTATATTCTAAACAAAAATTTGTTAAAAAAAATTGTTATACCTCCTTCCCCCAAGTTGTGAAAACATAGCTTCAAAACTGCAACTGATGTTAACTCACAGTGTTTAGCTTCCAACATTTTTAACATGAGTTTAAAAACTCAGAAATATTTTGTTGCTGCTGATCTACTATAGAAATGAATAAAGAGTTCATTTCAATTGAAAGAAAAAAATACATGCTGACAGAAAAAAAAAAAGTTTTTAAGTAATATCCACAGGGATGACATGCATGCCAGTATTTA